TGTCATCGAGTTGACTCGACTCATAGCAACCCCTCCTTGGGTTTCTGAGGCAGTATCTCTACGGAAGTAGATTGCCCAATCTTCCTTCTGAGGAGTGGCTAGTGGGTTTTAACTGCCAGCCTTCTGGTTAGCAATCAAGTGCCTTAGGCACTAAGCCACCAGAGTTCCTTACTTTACATTTGTTGTTTGTTGTTGTTATTTGCTGTTGAGTCAGCCATATAAATGTATATATGTCAATATATTTATATATACAAATATCTTCAAACCAGAAAAACAAACTCATTGCCATAGTAAAATCCAATTCATAGAAACTGTATAGGAAAGAATAGAACTGCTCCATAGGATTTCCAAGTCTGCAGTCTTTACAGAAGGAGATTGCAACTTCTTTCTCTTGCAGTATATATCTATTTCTCTATCTAGTTACACACACACACACACACACACACACACATATGTGGTGGTTAAGTTTGTGTGTCAACTTGGCTGGGCCTGGTTGAGTGGCTGGGCAGCTGGTGGCAGTTATTCCCCATGATGAGACTGGCAATCAACTCCATGATGGGATCTAACACAAGCAGCTGAGTAGCTGCTTTAGGGGGATGTGGTCTGCTTCCCGTATATAAGAAGCAGCTTTGGGAATGGTCTGTAGCTTATGGCATGCTTGAACCCTGCATGTAGCTGTGTCATTGTTCAGCAGCCCATGATGCTCTGCCAACCTTGGGACTTTCAATGGACTTAAATTAATGGCCTGCCATATGGTTTGGTAACATCGGGATTGTGCCATTTTATTTGTCGACCTTGGGCTTGTTAGCCTCAGCAGCCAGTAGCTGCCTGAGTGATGAGATGCCTCTAGCTTCAGTGGGCCAGGAGGAAGAGGCAGAGCTGAAGCCCAAGGTGGAGGGGCTTTCACACAGCCCCGAGAGCCTGGCACTTTGAACTCGGACTTCTATCCTCCTGAACTGTAAGAGAATAAACTCCTGTTTAGTCTCAAGCTGCTTTGGGAAGACTAGAAAGAGAGAGAAAATCCCTGGGTGGTGTTTAATGAGCTCAGCTGCTAATCCAAAGGTTGGAGGTTGAGGTTGGAGTTCACCTAGAGGCTCCCTGTTCAAGCCATTCCATTTGTGGTATATTCCTGTCAGAGCAGCACTAAGTAACCAGAACAGTATATATTGTGTACACATCATATCTTGCTTTCTTTCACCTTAGTCACAGTAATAGAAGAGTTCAGCACATCAGAGAGTGACAAGAAAGAGGAAGAACAAGCCTCTCAAGGCCCTGACTTGACCAATGGTAAGTGCCATCCACTGCATTTACAATAAACGCTTGACATTTTAACCTCTTAATCAATAAGCCCAATGGCCTTTTTCAGTTCTCATTTTTCTTGACCTTTATGCCCTATAGACATGATTGGTTAATTAATCACTCCCTTGTTCCTTCTTGACTTAGTTGCTTCCTTGGCTTTTTTGACAGTCTACTTAGTCCTGTTCCTCTGCTACTAACCACTCCTTCTCTGTGTCCTTCAGCTAACTCTACTTCTTCTGCCACTTCTTAAATATAGATATACTTCTTGAGTTTACTTCTCCTTCATCTTTTGAAGAGTTTATCTGTTCTCAGGATTGTCCCTGTCACCATTAAACAGAAGATATTGTAGCTATATTTCCAGAACATTCCCACAGCATTAGTCCCTCTTTCATTCCAATGTCTACATATCCCTGGCTGAATATTCTACTATCTCCTCCAACTCAACATTACTAAATATCAAATAGCATTTTTTCCCCACAAAATCAGCTTGGCCAAGGCATCACACAGCTCAAAATCTTGGGCTCTTCCCTCTCCAGTCAGTTTCCAAGGACTTTTGAATCTTCTCTGTCAGGTATTTTGCCCATTATCTGTCCACCATCCTAGTCCAGATGCTCAGCATCTCCAGCATGAAGTAATGCAACTTCAGTCTCTCCACATCTGGTCCATTGTTGACACACTCTCAAAGACCTCTTTACATCTGTATTTAAAAAAAAAAAAAAACTTCCATTGCTTCCCCTGGTCTACAACACAGAGTCTGAACCCAAACTTCTACCACCTACCTCTGCTGTCCCATCACTAAGCAGTTTCTAAATGGATATACATTTTTCACTGAAAACATCTCCCCATGTCTATTACACAGCTTTCATTTGTCCTAACTGTCCCTGATAGAAGGAAAGATCTTGTCACTCTTCTCCTTCTCCCTGCACCCCTCCTCACAGCCAGTATCTTCACTGAAAATTTTCTCCACCAGCTCAGCCCTCAGGGACCATTTCTGCCCCTGAGCCCATGAACACATTCTTATATGAACTACACATATGGATCTAACATTTAGCATAATATATCTTCTTTGACTTTATTAGTAGTAGTAGTAGTTCATTTGTTTACAATGTACAGAGAACTTTCCCCTAAAACTCAAGGATTGTGTCTTAAGCAGCTCCAAGCATGTTCTATACACAGCTGGCACTCCTAAATTGCTTGTTGGATGAAAGGAAGGAACCAGGATATTTAGCAAAATGACAGTCCATAGAATCTAGGTTCAAAAAGCCCTCTGAGAGCTCAAGTAGCTTATCTCCAAATACCTCCATGTAGGACCACATTTAACCCAGCCAAAATAAATGATTTTACTTGGGTAGCATTCCAAGCTTCTTAACAATTTGTATTGCTACTTAACTACACTTAGCTAAGAAATCATTCCTTATGACTAATTTGAATCCCTGACTGTAATTTAAGTCAATTTTCTTGCATGCTTCCTGCAGAAATGAAAAACAACTGGCTCAATATCTATGTAACTTAAAGACAATTTTCAAATCATCCTACAGGGTTGCTTTGTTTGTTTGTCTGTTTGCTTGTTTTCAGAGAATGAACAATATGAGCCCCTTTGCCTTCAGGGTGAAACTTTTGCTCATCGCTTCTTCATCTGAACTGCCCTTCAGCTTATACTGCGTGGTCAAAGTAATGTGTATATTCCTCAGTGACCAAAAAAAAAAGTCTAAAATTCTTTTGTTTCTCTTACAGAAGCTAATCCCACATCCCTAAGATTGATGAGCAAGAAAAGTGGCATACTGTTGCTCATTCTTGTGTCCTTCCTCATTTTCATACTCTTCATCATTGTCCAGCTCTTCATAATGAAGCTGCGGAAAGCACACATGATATGGAAAAAAGGTAAGTGGGCAGAGAGAGTCTAATGGAGGCCGCATGATGCCAAAAGGAAAATTCTGTCAATTAAAGCTTTTCCATTAGATATTGTACAGTCTATTTGATAATGTTGTCACTCAAGTAAGCACTTATTTTCCAATAAATTCAAACCCTAAAGTGCTTGCCTGCTAACTGAAAGGGCAGCAGTTTGAACCCATTAACCACTTGTGGGAAAAAGATACGGCAGTCTGCTTCTGTAAAGATTACAGCCTTGGAAACTCTATGGAGTGGCTCTATTCTATCCTATAGGGTCACTATGAGTCGGAATCAACTCAACGGCAATGGGTTTGGTTTGTGGTTTTTGGTTATAGTCAAAGAACATATAACCAAGAGAAACTAGAGTAGCTCTGGGAATTAATATTAAGTTAAAAGCTTCTATTCACAAAAGGATACAAAGTAGAGAACACACCCATTACTTTATTCAATAAACATTTGTTGAGCACCTACTCTCTGCCAGATACTGTTCCAGGTATTGAAGACACATCTGTCAGCAAGACACATGCAGTCCCTGCTCTCAAGGAGTTCATATTTTAGGGATGATTGAGCAAAAGTTGAATATAATAGACTGTTGCAGTTCTATTCCTACTTTGCAAGAATGCACTCAACCTTACTCGAACATAATAGTAATTTTTTCTAACTTTAATGTATTGTTTTTGTTGAGAATTCTTTTGGTTGCTTCTGTTCCTCTAACAAACATACCACAAATTTATGGCTTGAACAAACAAGAGTTTATTTTTATTACAGTTGTAGAGGCTAGAAATCTGAATTCAAAGTACCAAGCTCTAGGGGCTGGGTGAAAGCCTCTTGAACTTTGGCTTCAGTTCTGCCTCTTGCTCCTAGACCACTGGAGCTACAGATGTCTCTTTACTCAGGCAGCTGCTGACTGCTGAGGCTGATAAACCCAAAGTCGACAAATTAAACGGCACAGTCCCAAAATCATCAAACCACATGACAGGCCACTAATTCACATCCATTAACAGTTCCAAGATCAGCAGACAACATTGCAGGCTGCTGAATGACAACTTGACTACATGTAGGATTCAAGGATGCAAAAAGCTTCAGAGACCTTTCTCAAAACTACTTCTTATATACTGGAAGCAGACCACATCCCTAAGGCAGCTACTCAGCTACTCCAGTAGATTCCACCATGGAGTTGATTACCAGTCTCATCATAGAGAATAACTACATTCAGCTACCCAGCCACTCAAAACCAGGCCTAGCCAAGTTGACACACAACTTAACTACCACAGGAACATACACAGCAAGACATACACCAATTCACCAATTTCTACATGTACAAGTGATATTACATTCTTTGAGTTGTGCAACCATTTTCACCAGCCTTTTTTGAGTTGTTCCTCCATCATTAAAATAAACTCACTACCCCTTAATCTTTCATGTTGCTATTGTCAACTTGATCCCATATAGATAGTTCTTAAAAAAGCATATTGCTCCAGGCAAACCTTTTTTTACTAGTTAAACTAAACTATTATTTTGTTTTAAGAAGACTTCAGGGGATATTTTTTGTTTAAGGTTTAAAGACAATCACAGGGCAATAGTTTCAGGGACTCATCCACCTTCCGTAGCTCCAGAAAATCTGTAGTCTATGAGAATTCGAAATTTTGTTCTGCTTTTTCCATCTTTTTATTGCTATCAATAAGTTGTACATCTATAAAAAGTTGAATTGGTAAAAGTTGGATGATATATTTACAACAATGACCAAAAAAAAAAAAAAAAAGAAAAAGTATCTGTTGAGGTTGCTTACGTTCAAACACCTCAGGTTTTGTTCCTTGGTTTGGAGGTCTAGGGTCATGGTTTCATGGGACATCCCAGTTAATTGACCTAGTAATGTATTTAGTACTTTTCTGTTCTATCACCTACTTCCATGACTAGTCCCTGGGGTCTTAAAAGCTGGCAAGTGGCCATCCAAGGCACTACAATTGGTCTCTATTCACTGGGAGCAACAGAGAAAGAAGGACAGTCAGGAATAGGAGAAGGATATGGAATGTGTGGCTAATTGCTTCCATGAACAATTTCCTCCTGTGCCATGAGATCAGAACTGGGCAGTTCCCAGCTACTATGGTAACAATTTTTATCTAGGCATTTTGATTAAAAAGTTATCATTGAAATAAAACAAAAAAATACTTAGCTAGCATGGGCAATACTTATTAAAATGCATATACTCAATTCATGGCAAAGCTGGAAGGGACCTTAGAAATTATCCAGAATAATCATCTACTCAATTCATTCCATAAACATATGCCAGGATCAAATTCCTTATTTAATTCTAAGTCATCATACAGCCCTGTCCCATTCAATAAGTAACCACAATGTGGCACCTCAGCATTCGCGATGTGGTTAGTCCCTACTGAGTTGTGGTGTAAGTGTAAAATACACACTGAATTTTGAATGTTCAATACACACACATACACACACTAAGACTGTAATATAGCTAATAATCTTCTGGATTGACTGAGTTAAAATATATTAATAAATTAATTCCACCTGCTTTTTTCCATTTTTAGCATGGGTACTAGAAAATTTTAAATTACACATGAGCCTCATGTTATAGTGTATTAGACAGTACTGTTCCTGCCACATGTGGCTTCAATACCCAGTGACAGAGAACTGAGTGTGTCCCAAGCAAAACATCATATCTTTTAATAGCTCTGACCTTCATAAAAGTACCACTTCTCCTAGTTTAATATCAGTCTCTCCAGATATTCAGATGGGTTAGCATACTCATCATAAATAGACCCAGCAACAGGGGTCTGACTTTTCAGTTATACCTGCACAATAAGCAAACACTATAGTATTCTTCTAAAATTTCCCAATAATGCTTCACCTCCAGAGTTCTTTAATGACTACTTGAATTATTTCTTCCCAAAGAACAATTCTTGATTCTAATCTGCTACCATTTTGACTTCCCACAACTCTTGGGCTCTTTCCTCTTATATTGCCTAGCAGACTACCTGAAGGAATCATAGTAGAGATTCCAAAACTATGTGTTGAATTAATGAAGCCATGTAGCATGGAACAAGGACTGACAAGTCTACTATTGCACAATAACAGAGGTGTCATCTTATCCAAACATATATTTCTATATAGAGATGATGTCTGTAGCACCAGAATTAGTAATCTAATTTTTTTTTTCTTGCAGAAAATGAAATTTCAGATCACACACTGGAAAGTTACAGATCCAGATCAAATAATGAAGAAACATCATCCCAAGAGAAAAATGGCCAAAGTAAGTAAACTATATGACCAGAGACTTAAAATATAAGATTCATTAATTTGTTGCCTGTAAGAAGGAGGGTAAAATTCAAAGGTTGCTTTTTAAACCAGAACATCAGTCTCAATAATCATCTTGCTTAATTTAAGGGAGAGCATCTCAATAAACATAAAGCAGCAGTGAAATTCATGCAGCTGAAGTTATGCCTCCTTGGGAAGCCACCGTTGAACCCTCCTCTGTCACACACAGGCACAACCACTGGACTGTGTGCCCCTCCTGGGCTCCAGTGTATCCTGTATACTTTATCATTGGCATGATAATTCCCACATGATATTGTAATTTTTGGTGTTTTGATTTAGCTACTATAATACTCCTTCAGGTAGTGAGTAATTGGATTTATTCTATCCTAGCACAAGGCCTGGCACCAACTGAGTGTTTGATAAATTTATATTGATTGAATGGATAATAATAATAATAATAAATAGTCACCCTCGAGTCCCTTCTAACACATGGTGAACCCGTGTGTATCTGAGTAGAACTATGCTCCCAGGGTTTGCAATGATGGATCTTTCAGAAGTAGATTACCAGGCTTTTCTTCCAAAGCACTTCTGGAACTTCCACATTATCTTTCAGTAGCCAAATTAATCGTTTACATCGTTTAATTAATCATATTAATAGTTTAGACCACCCAGGGACTCCAAGGGAATACAAGGTTTAAATAGTTAAAGCAAAAACATTTCAGATCCTTTGGATGACTGCATTATAATACTTCAAGCAAAATATGTAAAGAAAATGAAGAGCTTACATGGGAAGAAGAATGTGTGTGTGTGTGTGTGTGTGTGTGTTTATTCTTGACAAAGATCCAATAGGCAGAAGTCAGCAACAGTCTTAAATCTTCCAACCATTTTATTTCCTCCACACAAAATAACATTGCACCCGCCAAGAGTGGCAAAAAATGTGCAAGCTTTGCGGCACCTTTCTATTCGATTGAGGTTTGCGAAGGACACTTGTCTTTTACCATTGCCTTTTAAATATCTTGACCTAGTAGAGTGTAAAATGGAAAGAAAGAATAGATACATTGGCAGGGAGAGGGACACAAGCGAATTGACTGTGTGAAAACTGGAGGTGGGAAGGGAAACGTTTGTAACCAGTACACAAGCTGTTGTGTTTCTGTAACATCATGTGTTTCTATAACATCACTTGTCTCATACTTGATTGGCAAATAGGAGAATATGTCAGTGTAATGTGTAAATTGGTCTCCTTCTTATGCAATTTTCCTAGTCAAGGGGAAACAAAACAGTAGAAGTAGATTATAAAGTTTAATAAGAAAGGAAAAGGCCCTGTGTTCAGCTGTTGAACAAATCAAATCCCTTACATTTCAATTTTTTAAAAATTTGAAATGAGTACCTGCACTCAGGCCTCTTACCCAAAGAAAGATACCCTGTGTGGTGCGAGCAGTTCACGTGGTCAGTTGCTGACCAACAGAACAGAAGACTGAGTCCACCTATTGGTGCCTCAGAAGAAAGGCCTGGTGATCTAAAAAAAAATTATCCATTGAAAATCCTAAGGATCATATGGGATTGCCATGAATCAGGGCCAACATTGGGACAACTGGTAGGGGCTTGCCATGCCTCAGGAGAGATTGAATTTCCTCCACTTCCATTTGTCTAGCCTCAGTGCACTCAATCTAGCATTTTGACTCTATTGTTTTTGCACATTTAAAAAATTATCTTCTGGGGCTACCTTCAGCTTCAGTTAGTGGTGTGTTTATAAAATTGAATAGGTTTTGAAGGGTCTGTGCCTTTTCCCACTTAAAAAAAAAAAAAAAATGCCATAGAGTTGATTCCTAGTCATGGAGACCCCATGTGTGACAAAGTACAACTGTCCTCCATAGGGCTTTCAGTGGCTGCTTTTTCTGAAGCAGATCTCCAAGCCTTTTTTTCAAGGCACCTCTGGATGGCCTCAAACCTCCAACATTTCTGTCATCAACCGAGCATGTTAACCTTTGCGCTACCCAGAGATTTCCCTTTCCCCATAAGTTCTTTACTATGCAACTTTGCTGAAGGCAATATTGTTGTTGTTGTTGTTTCTACCAGTGACATGTATGTTATTTCATAGCAGAAATACCGGTATATTTTATTTCAGGTTGGGAGCTCTGGTAGTGTAGTGTTTAAGGCATTTGACTGCTAACCAGAAGGCTAGCAGTTCAAAGCCACCAACCACTCCTCAGAAAGATTGGGCAATCTACTTCCATAGTGATACCACCTCAGAAACCCAAGGAGGGGTCACTATGAGTCGGATACTACTCATAGTCGGATACTACTCAGATATGACAGCAGTGGGTTTGGTTTTCGGTTTTAGCAAGACTTTAAGGAGCCTGGGTGATGCAATGATTAAGTGTTGGCTGCTGACCAAAAGGTCAGCAGTTCAAAAACCACCAGCCACTCTGTGGGAGCAAAGTCCTGATCTGCTCCTGTGAAGATTACAGCCTAGGAAACCCTATCAGGTAGTTCCACTCTATCCTGAAGGATCACTATGAGTCAGAATCAACTCAACAGCAAGCAACAACGCTTTCAAGATTAGAATATAGCAATGTATATTTCACACATCAGTGAATTTTAGATTTGATTTTATAAGCCATTAACATTTGGATATGAAACAATATCATCCAATAAAAATGTTTTGAGTAAATGGGTGCAACCTTGTTCAAAATAAATATTTATCTTCAACATGTTTTTCTTTCAGCTTCCCACCCTAAGAGCTGCATGAATTACATCACACAGTTATACAGAGAAGCAAAAACGAAGAGGAAAGAAAATGCACAACATGTACCATTAAAAGGCACACACATCCATATACCAGAGAATGTTGTGTAGTGCTCCCTGCAACAGAAAATATTTCAGGGCAGATGTGTTGTCCCCTCAGTGGACCAGCCCATGGAAAGGAGCACAATTACTGTGACATGAATAACATGCTTTGAATGCAATGCAAGATGGTACCCTCTGATGATAATCTGCCCTGGAGTTAGGGCAGCAAAATGAGGACCAAACCATGGAATAACACATCATAGTTTAAAGAATTATAACCTATTATGCCTGACACTACTTCAGAGTAGGAAGATTCTACTAGCCCCTTGTGCATCAGGTCAATGTGACCAGATAACATCTCACTGTGCAAAGTATAAGTGAACTGCTGTATTAAAAGAAAATTTCCTCTGTAAATCTACTCCTAAAACAAAAAAAAAAAAAAAAAAGTTTTCAAATCTTTCCTTCTGATCTCCAAATCAAAAACTTTAGGATGAAAAGGACCCAACAAAGATCTCTAACTCCAAGGAGGTTACTTTAAAGATGGACTTTATGAAGAGTTACAAGCACCTGCAGTGTCAGGGAGAAACGGTGCATACTAATGAGTAGACCTAAACAATAGTTTAGTTTAATTGGTAAAGAATATCTGCGTGAGCATTGTGCTCTTTTGAAGACCTTTCTATGTAGGATCTAACTGACAACAGCAACTTGAAAGATCACATGAGAAGCTTAGGGGGTAGTGAGTTTGTTAATGGTAGAGAAATCATTTGGAAAAGCACAGCAAGAATGCTTGCACAGCTAAAGAATGTAATCAATGTGACTGAATTGTACATGGAGAAATTGTTGCATTGCTATATCTCTGCTATGTATATTTTCACCAAAAAATTTGTGTGTGTGTGTATGTGTGTAATGAAACGGGTCTGATAAGCATGAATGTCCCGAGTTCCAAGGAATTAGTTCAAGGTATACTCAAAGATTATCTTTTCTTAGATTTTCTTGCCAAATCATATGATCTGTCCTGATAGACCAAGTGTTTACTGGGGCACCCCATTACAAAAACATGTACAAAAGAAAAAAAAATGAGCTAATTTATTGTTTATTGACCTAATGAATGCTTTTTTTTAAAAAAAAAAAAATAACTTTACGCAAGTAAAGAACAAAATACATCTTTGTGTATCTAGTGGTTGTATTCCAAGTTGTACTTCTTGCTTTTACTTTCATTGACTTAATTACAAGTCTTTTTTTTTTTTTGTCTTATGATTTTATTTAAGGCATAGCAAATTTTGGTGTTTATGTGAACATTGTTTTCTCATTGTTTTTATCTGAATAAACCAAGTCTAAAATATGCACACAGAGAGAGTTTATAATTTGTTACTAGAGTCAGACTCAACTGACCTAATTTTTTTTTTTCCTGGAGAAAATGTTTTCCTAACAATTACAAAATTACAGAAAGGACTCAAGATAGTACAAAGCACTTTTGCCCCTGAACCCCTAGAAAGTAAGCTGATATGATGCTTCCTCAACCCTCTACCCCAAATACTTTAGTGTGAATTACTACCAACAGGGACAGTCTCCTCTATAATCACAATGTAATCATCAAAATCAGGAAACCAACATTGATATATTTCTACTAACAGTCCTCAGGTTCATTCAAATGTCTCCAATTGTCCCAAAGAATTGAGTTCAGAACCATGTTTCATTTTAGTCTTTAGTTTGGAACAGTTACTAAATCTTTCCTTGCCTTTCCTAATTTTAACTTTTTTTTTTTTTTTTAAGATTACAGGCCAATTATTTTGTAGGCTGCTTCTCATTTTGGCTTTGTCAGATATTTCCTTGTGATTTAATTCAAGTTATGCAATTTTGACAGGACTCTCACAGAAGAGATGTTATGTTTATCTCATTGTAACCTAAAAGATGGTACATGATATCAGTTCATCCCATTTTATTGGTGATGTTCATTTTGATCACCTGATTAAGGTGGTATCTACCAGACTTCCCCATTGTAAAGTTATTCTACTTTACTTTGCAAATTAATCATATTTTGTAGGAAAATACTTTTAAGATATGCAAAGATCCTACCCTACATCAAATTTTCAAGTTATTCAATAAGATTATTTATTTATTTATACCTGCCTAGACTCAAAATTTCCTATGCTATTTAATGTTTATATGTTTATAATCTATTACTATCAAATAAACCTATGTATTAATTTGATGCTCAAGTTGTAGTTGTTTTCTGTGTCCTTTGATACACGGCCATCAATTTTTTAGAACTTTCTTGCTTTCTGGTACAAAGTGTTGTGGGTTTATCTTACATGTTCCTGCCCCTGTCCTGGAATCAGCCATTATTCCAAGAAGCTCTTGTTCCTTTTAGTGGAAACTGGTATTCAGAAATCAAGATCTGGGTGCTGGTTGTGCTCACTGCTTTTGGGGTGTTGCTGTACTCAGTCTTGGATTACTCAATAAGCAAGGTAAGCACAGGTTTACTTGTACTTACCTATTAATCTGTAGTGAACAATTCACCTTTTTTCTTACACATCAAAGATTCTGCTTCTAGGTATGGCTGACATCTGTGTCTCTCCCAATTCCACAGCATCTTCCTACAGAATTAAAATCCTTTCAAATTTGCAATCCCCGACAGAAATAGAATGCCCAGTAAGTAATGCACACACTTGTGGAGAGAAACATGTGAAACTATTCATTACAGATTAGTAACTAAACATAGTAAACCTATGTTTACCCTGCCTATTGAGTAATCCACCCCTGACTGTACTCAGGTCCTCTCAGTGGACAGAGCTTGGGAATATATGAGAGTATGTGTGTGTGTATGTGTGTATTTAAAACTATCTACTGAAAACCAAGGAGCTCTGGTGGTACTGTGGCTATGGCATTTGGCTGGTAACCAAAAGTTCAGCAGTTTGAGCCCACCATCCACTCCATGGGAGAAAGATGAGGCAGTTTGCTTCCATGAAGATTTACATCCTTGAAATCCTAGGAGGACAGTTCTACTCTGTCCTATAGGGTTGCTATGAGTCAAAATTGACTTGATGGCAGTGGATTTGGTTTGCTTTGAACTGAAAACCGTGAGTTTATTCTGGTTTCCTCCCTTTCTATACTTGTAATTCCTTTCTCTGAGAAACATGGTGTCTTATTTATCTAGTACTGATGTAACAGAAATACTACAAGTGGATGGCATTAACAAACAAAAATTTATTTTCTCACAGTTTAGGACATTACAAGTCTGAATTCAGAGCACCAGCTCTAGAGCACCAGCTCTGGGGGAAGACCGTCACTGTCAGGTCTGGAAGAAGGTCCTTGTCTCCTTTAAACATCTGTGGGCTCAACATTCCTTGGAGACTTCTGTGTGTCTTGGCATCAATCTTCTTCTGGGTGTAGGAGGTACCCAGCATGGGGACCCAGGATCCAAAGGACATGTTCCAATCCCAACTCTTTTTTCTTGGTGGTAGTAGGTCCCTCTTTCTCTGTTTGTTTTCCTCTGCTTTTCTCCTCATAAGATAAAAAGTGATGCATCAGAGGTTCCGGCAAGATGGCAGACTAGGCAGAAGGACTGCACAGACCCTCTTCAACAAAGAAAAGGGAAACCAACTGACACAGACACAGAAGATAATCTTGGACCGCTGAGCCTTGAAGGGAAGGATACAGAAGTAGACTAAACCCCAACTAGCAGAAGAATTTGTGTGAAAATACCAAAAAAGGAGAC